TGTTGGCGAGGCCGGTATTGTTGGCGAGGCCGGAGCTGTTGGAGATGGTAGAGTTGTTGGCGAGGCCGGAGATGCTGGAGGCGATTCTTCGACTCCGACTCGTGTGGAAGGTATCGCAAAAGAATCCAATTTTCTTTTCTCGGGCGAGCAGGGCGAGTAGGTTGAGATTGTCATATTGAATATTTCGAGGTAGCAGAAGAGCGATCGGCGGAGGAAGCGTTATATATTTTACTCTAGCTGTAGGCGCTGGTTTGGCACCCAGCTGGAACGCTGTCGGCTGCTCGTGCTTTTAATGTTTCACCTCATGCAAGCACTGGCGCTAACGTGCAGTCTAGCGAAAGACCAAGCGACACACCGAATGCCTATTTTGGAGATCCATTCCATTCCCGCAACCGCAACGATGCGAAATTGCAAGGACAACAATAGCGTTGTGCTCATACTATTTATGGTGATTCTTTGTCGAATGTTTCGCCATCTCGCGTAATCTGTACGGAGGAAGAGCAGTCGGTCGACGCCCACGTCTTAGGCGATCAGTCTTCCAGCTTCGTGGTGAGTCGATTTCGATCGTCGACGGTCATACGACACAGATTGAGAGCAGTAGCGCAGTACTGTATTCATTTTTGTACTCTGTTTGAAAACCGACCAGATCACTTCAGCAAGGCACGGATGATCAGCGCGGGGATGACGTCAATCTGGTGCGCCCCGCTGCGAGAAAGTTTGCCACGTGTGCGAACTCATCGCCGTGCACATTTCGACTGAGTTGAAAGTCGCGCGAGAAAGCACCGCCAGCAGACCAACCGACCTGAAATAACCGACCTGAAGTACCACCACCCGAAATATTGCGCGCCTCCAGTTCGGGAAGTGTGGCATCATGGCCACTTCTACGTGGAGTTTCGACGATATCCCCATGTGCAAACCCTCGGACAAGGCGCTACTTGAGCTGAAGGAGCATCCCGAAAACAAGACGGCTTTGGAAAATAAACAAGTACCTTTCGTGGAGCTATCCTTCACTGAGACCTTGCGGGAAGAATTGGATCAATGTCGAAAGGTGACTGACGCTCTAAGATGGCTCCGACGTATATCTGCTGACATATTTGACAGGACTTCGAAAAAACGAACCCCCTATATACGATCCGGTGGGAGTACGTGGCCATGCTCAATCGCCACGCTGATAAGGTCGCCCTTGGGCAGTCAAACCGCGGAACGTTGGACTGTGGGAACGGGAAATCGGACTTAGCCGACAAGGCGAAGGAAAGAGGCTTGTACATTGGTTTTCACGTGCTTGTACGGTCGGAGAAATAGACGTCCCATTCATTAGCCAACTCGCTAGTATTCATGACCATGCCAGAATACATCACGCTCGCCCATGCACCCGCGTAGTCCGTCTCAGCTGGTGAAGAGCCCGATGTATCCTCCGCATTCGCCCGATCCCGTATGTCGTTCGGCGCGGGCTCGTCTTGGCCCGGGGACGGTGAGACTCGAACTGAATCTACCCTTCTGTCTGCCTCCGACGGCGTTTCTTTGTCTGCCTCCGACGGCGTGGGAACTTCTGCACGACCCCCAGTCTTGGTCTTATCGAGTATGCGTCGCAGAGGCCCGTTGTGAGGGAACTCCGTCAAGGCCGTCTCCAGTGCTCGTCTCGCTGTGTCTTCTAGCAGAATGGCGTGGCGGCTGAAGCCTTTAACCCCCTTCAGACAAGTACCCAAGGCAGAACAGGCTCTAGCCCGGACACGATTGCCAAGATCCGTCTCTGGGGGCACTACAAGGATTGAACCGATCCCGCAGACGTCCATAATCTTCAGATAACATTTGCCGGTTTCTCGTGCCCGTAGCATGGCCCCCTTTTCCAGCTTGTGTTCCTCGCAAAACTCACCCAAGTGGCGCCGAAAGTCCAATTTGCCTGCTGCTTCGGCGTCGAACGCGCTCGCAACGATGACCTGGAAGATCCTGTGCTTGTAACACGCCTTGTTCGTCGACCTCTGTAATGCACGGCAAGCGGCTGCTAGAGGGTTGCGTGACTCGCATCGCTCGATAGGGTCCTTGACCACTTCCCAGAGGTCGGCGTAATCATCTGGCTGGTACCAATGAGCATCTCGAACCCGATTGACCAGTGCCACAAATCTAGAACGCGGGTTGCTTGAGAATGATTCGAGTCTTTCAGTACACGGCCTCCGTGCACGAGTGCTGCGTGCCCTCGACGCAGATTGAGTCCTCTTGCGTTTTCGGACGAAACCTGCGAAACGGTGCACTTCCGTTTGGAGTTTCTGGTGATTTCATCAATTAGCCTCTAGACACATGTGCTGCTCCGTATCTTGCCTTGTTATTCAAGTCTTCGTCAGAGACGCGACTCAAACGGTCGATGACCCGCTTCAATTCATCAGTAAGGTTGTCAATTTCCATGTTTGTGGAGAAGGCACAGAAGAGAGGCGAGCTCTCGCCGGAGATGACAAGACCCCCGCCCCCCACGTTTCGTTGCTCACTTGAGCATTCAAACGTGGGATGCAGTTCCGCGTGGCTGGTCCCCGCTCGTGATGCAAGGGGAAGCGGAAGGCTTGGTTCGTGGAACCGCTAGGACCTCGCCCGTATGCGCGCGCTAAATCGATTGGATATCCACGACGGTTGAATCTGGTTTGGTGCGGTCGTGAATCACACGTGCATGCGAGCCGGCAAACTTAAAGCTGACCTCACAGCAAACATGATTGAAGTGAAGGAACGGGGTCCATGTCTGCCATCTCTCATCCCAGGACCATGCCGTTCGCATCGGTCCCAATACAACGCTAGCCATGCGTGGTGTTCGAATCAGTCTCGGCTGGGGATCTAGCTTGGGGTATTTCGAGGTGCCGATCGCTCGTGAACCAGTCCATGTCTCAAGGGGTTGGTCCTTCTCACTCCATCCTTCATCGTCCAACGAGAATGTTCGAGCTCGGGCCACACGTTCACCGGTCGGCCAACTACCACTCATGGTTCATGTGCATGCGGCGAATTTGCGGTGTGACGCTGTCATTGTGCGCCTACCCGAGCCTCCTCCCCAACTTACAAACTTCTATAGATAAAGCGTTGTGCTCATTGAAATTCAATTGCTGCTGCCTTCTATCCTCCTTTATCATCATCACTCACTCTCGAGGGACCTTGTGCCTGTCATGGAGACCCTAAAATCGCTTCCAGGATACTCGGACAATGGCCAATCAATATCTACTACGTCCGGGACACCGAGCCAGACCATGGGGGAACCAGACGAAAGATACCAGGTGTTGGCAACTTTGAACCGTGATACGTTGAGAAAGGTCCTTCCCAAATGGAACAAGGACACGTGTGTCGGAATCGGTTCCATGACCAAAGAGGGTGAGCAACAGTTGGCCACAACATCGAAGCCGCTCTGATCATAGTTTAGGCCTTACGGAACTGGGCGAGCGTATCATCAACCAACATCGTTCACTGGATGGTGTTAATAAGCTACAAAAGTCGACGCTTGTTTTGGAAGGCAAGATGCCGGATAAGGAGTGGAAGAAGCTTTCGAAAGTGTATTCGACTCTAGCGTCCTCGCTTGGATCGCCTGGTCCGCAGAATGATCTCGTTCGTTCAACAGCGCTTCAGACTCCAGTCGACCCAACCGGCCCTCTGTCAAGATCACGTAAAAAGCCAGCGTGCGAAAACTGTCGAGCGATCCGAAGCAAATGCACATGGGAGGGAGACGGCGGCTGTGTACGTTGCAAGAAGGGACGAAAGCTATGTCGTCCCGGGTATGATCGCCGTCGCGCAGACAGGTCCTCAAAGACGGCAAAACACTCCGCGCTACCTCCGACGATGCAAATTCACCACACGGATGAAAACTTGGTCGGTGGCAAACCAGAGCGAACCCAGGATGTTTCGTCCGCCAGGACGTCCGTGGCTCGTGCGACTCAGACAGACAATCACTACCATCTTCAACCTGCCCTTGGTACACCCCATCGCTCGACTGAACCCTCGATTATCGGTGCATCCGAAAGCCTCGACAAGCCAAGTGAGGACCGTCTATCCATGTTGCACTCTGGGCCACCCCGAACGGCGGTCACCGGATATGCGAGAACCTTGCGCCCTTTGTATGATGCCAACATCAACCCGCAACAAGCATACGGCGGGTCGCTGAGGCCGGGAGACTTTAATGAGACGATGTATGAGACGAACGCCTTACCAGAACTCGGGCAGCCCATGATGCCATCCACCCCAGCATTCCACCCTGTACATTTCAACTGGGAGGATCCATGCGGGCTTCTCCTGGCTGATATCGCACAAGGCTGCTGGCGTGGTCTGCTACCAGCCGAGAATGCGGACACTACGCAGTACAGTGCATACGGCTCAGGCAATGATACGATGGATCATACTATGGACGTCAATGCGTGGGAACAACGCTTGTATAACCCGACGCTGGCGAACGAGAACGAAGGCATGACATACGCATATCAAGCGGACACGAAGCATCCACGCGAGGAGTGGCTTCCGGAGCAGCCGCTTCATCTGACCACGGGAAATCACTGACTTACTGCAGGGTGGTAGTGTATATGCCTGCACAGAAGGGCCACCAACGGGGTACGAGGGATGGCGTCGTGACATCGTTTTTCGGCCAAGTTCTTAGAGATCATTATACATCGACATGTGCAATAACAAACCGTTCTTTCAGTCCATGTCTATTGTTACCGGAGGAGATGATACTGAGCTCACGTACAGACAGTTAACTGGAGCACGACGGCTTCATTCTAGCATATCAATCACCCCCAAAGCGACCCAAGCTGTCGCGGGAGATGACAAAAGAACCCCCCACGATTCGTTGCTCACTTGAGCATCCAAACGTGGGATGTCGCTTCACGTAGCCTACAAGATGGCGTGTGTGGAAGTCTCGATTGGTTATTGAATGAAGATCTACCCCATTTGAGACGGACAACACGTCTGCGCCATATATCGCTAGAGTGACGGACATCCCATCCGTTCCCCCCGTCTCTAGTGGCATCCACGAACCCCACGTGCATACGAGCCGATGAACTCAATACCAACCTCACCATCCAACATATAACATGCATGTGGAATACAAAATGCTGCAGAGCCCGCTCCGTGTTCGCCATTCCTTTCCCTTCTCAAGCACAATGTCATTGGTATCGATGCTCATCGCTGCGTCATTGGATGCGGCAGGATCTCTCGTCATGGTCATTACGATGTTCGACATCCTGAACCATTACCGGAGCACTCACGGATTGGAAAGATTCCTCTGGGTGTCGCTCAGCACACAGGTATAGTCAGACTGCAGCGGCCGTACGACATTCCATGCTGACAAACTCAGATCGCAGGATTGCTCGCCTTGGGTGTTGGAACAGCATCGCAGTTCGCCCCGTCCAGTCTACTGGATCAGGTCGGCCAAACTAGCTGTACTATCGTCGTCGCCTTGGCTCCGGTGAGCCGTGCAGCACGATGGGAGCACGTCTTTACCAGCATGCCGATAATACCTAGCCCAAGGTCACTTGCTAAGATGTTGTACTGCATAATGTTTCGTTTCCCGACGATCGCGGCAGTTGTGGTTTTCATCGGAACCCCGGTCTGTTGTGCAGCAATACTGGAGCTTCCGGTATGAAAATACGCCTCTTCCGACAATGAGGCCAATACTGACCCCAGAAGAACGACCCCCGATGGGCCCTGGCTACACTACTTCTGTTGATAATGGACTTCACTGGGGTGGCTTGCAGTCTCATGTTCACGAAGTCCATGCAGGACCCAGACCACCAGCCAGACGAGCGAATCAGCGTACACGGCGAGCCACGTAACAGATGGAACCGTCGCCGAGTGACCCTGGCGGCGGTAGGATGGTGGTATGTCATCGTCTTGCGCACCTTCGATCGATGACTGACGATCGCAGTGTTCGCACGGCCGTCACAACGGCATGGGTAATTCTGCTCTGGCGCCAGCCACAATCATGGCTTCGGAGGGACGTGCAGACGGTATGCCTTACAGTGGGGGCTTCACCGTGGACATTGAAGGATTTCGGACGAATGGGCAAATGCATGCGGCGAAATAGTCGTCCAACCGGGGGCCATGGAAAAGGCAGCGCCGCTCCGAGCGGAACATTGGAGCAGGGTTGCGATGCTTCTGCCGAAGGTAACAATCCCTCTCGCATCGTACAGGAGGCGCCTAGCAAGTGTTGAACGAGTGTATAACCGACAGTAAAGTTGATGTTTGACCGTTCGGAGTTCGCAACGGAAAGCCTCTTTCCACGCTTCTAGATGTCTCCCGATCTGGATGATCAGCTGCTGTAGATTCCGCGCTAAGCGTGACTCCACTTGTTTGCGGCTGTGATACAAAACTGACGGCGACACGCCTGTCATAGTGGGACGCTATTTGAGCAGCGGCCTTAGCGCCGCCACCGGAGCCTGGCGAGACGTGGATGTCATGGCGTTCGATCGGCTTTACGAAGAGAGAACGGATCGCCCTCCCAAACCAGAAGTACGGACTTGATCCATCCGTTCCGTTCGCCGCGGCGTGATCATCGGGACGGAGTGCAGATCATGCATGGCTTGATCCAATGCACACGGCGATGCATGTAAATGCGCGGCGTGAGATATCAGTCAGCCACACGGCGTTCAAGGCTTCGTCTCAAGCGTTGATGGGACTCAGCCGCCATCGACGGATATCTACTTCTCATTCCTCGTTGCTCCCCTGCGATCACATCGGCCGTCGGTCTTCGCTGGCCGCGACAGCTTTCGTCTTCCCATCCACCCGGGTATCCAACGGTGCAGCAAGGCCAGCATCTTTCCCGCCATCCGACGTTGTCGTGCAGCGCTGCCAACATCCCCCCGACATTGGCCCAGCTCGCGCTATCGTATGCCACCGCAGTGACTGTGGGCACGCACGAACTGGTCGCCTGATGCGCTCTCTCGCGCGGTCGTGCCTCCAAGCCGTGGCCCTTTCGTGTGCAACCAACTGCCCGCCACCATGTCTCACGGCAAGATGACGTCGTACAGCATGGTGGTGTTGGGCGATGGTGGCGTGGGCAAGACGGCGTTGACGCTCCAGGTATGGTGAACTGTAGCCCAGTCCACAGAGGGCGTTGCAGCTGACAAGCGCCTCACAGTTGGTCCTCAAGCACTTCGTCGAGACCTACGACCCCACGATTGAAGAGTCATATAAGACGCAAGTCGATATCGATGGCACCTCGTGCATGCTCGACGTACTCGACACAACCGGACAGAAAGTTTCCGCGACACTGTGGGATGGGTGGATAGGACCCCGCGAGGGCTACATACTCGTTTAGAGCATATGTTCACGCTCGTCGTTCATACGAATACCAGAATTTCACCGCCAGATACAGAGAGTGAAGGCTGACGCGGCGGCATCGCCCACTCCCATTCCAATCGTACTGGTGGGCAACAAGTGCGATAGAGTGATCGAAAGACAAGTTTCCACACAAGAAGGCGAGGCGCTCGCAAAGTCGCTGAATTGTGGATTTGTGGAGGCATCCGCCAGGACCGGCGTCAACGTCGACTGCGCTTTCCACGACGTGGTGCGCGAGTTGCAGCAACAGCGATTGGATGCCCCCTTATCCTCCAGCGAAAAGACATCGAAGTTCGACACTACGCCTCCCACGAAGGGCAATGAGCTGCCCTCTGACCGAGAAGAGAAGAGTCGATACGATCCATTGGGCAAACGGAGAGAGCGAGCAGGCCCGTGCAACTGCGTCATCTTGTAGATTCGATCAACATCGCTTTGCACGGTAGAAACTACCGACCGACCCGCGGAATGCAATTCGGTCTCATCTACGCTGTTAACCCTAAACCACTAAACCCTCGTAACCCCGTGCAGACTCTTGTCTTCATTAAACGTCCGTCACAACAAGTCCGGGCAGTGTCATTGATAGTGAAATAAACTTCCCCACCAGCACCGTAGTACTCCAACAAGGGGCCACTGCAGAAGGTGTCATGTAAACACCCGCGCTACAAAACAAATAGACCCGCGTGCATTCACAGTCGCTTGTGTCAGCAGTTTCACGGTTTCGGAAGCGTCTTTTCGGATACCACATGTAGCAAATTGCCCTCGTTTGGCCTACGTTCCCGGCAATCGACGTTTACCATGCAGCTTCGAAAGGGGCTAATGCGACCGACGGAAATATATAAACGCAGCGGTACGTGACAGTCTACCACGTTCCCCACCACCTCTACAAACACACATTGACATGGAGAAAGCGGAACAATGGCACACCGACCGTCTAGGATATGCTTGCGCGACACTACAAACTGCCACCTACAACCTTGGTCTTAGTGCTATATCCGAGTACTGCAATGACAAACAGCGCTACTGTCCACAGGTTGTTGCAACGCTGTATTCTCAAGGATGGGTTTCACTCTTTGGCAAGGGTGGCGACATCGCCAAAAAGCTAGACAGCGCATGCAACGAACATACACAGAAATTATTACACTATCAACTTGAGGATGTCACATTCATCTGGAGGGATCCCTCTCAGAAGCAGATGTTCATGCGGCTTAAAGCCAAGTTAGGGGAAAAGGTTCGTCCATCACATAAAACCAGCGAGGCGTAACGCTCATCAGCTCGCAGGGATTGATGCCTTACCGAATGATTGTCGATGAATACGTGAAGCTAGTCATACCCTTGGAGATGGTGGATTATTTCGACAAGGACGCCGAGTTTGCCCGTTTTCTAGACGTCGAGCACAACAAATACGTCACCGAAAAGGCGTGAGACCACTTGAGCGAGGGGAGAATGATTTTGACAGATGTCGAGATGATGTTGGGTGATGCTTCTGCTCGCCGAGATTTGCAACGGGAAGACTTTTCGTTCAATCATTGCTTGATAAAGAATTATTAGTCTTATCCGTCGTTGTCTTTAACATGAGTATTCAATTTCTGTGGTGCTGGAGGTACTGGTGGGCTGAGTACTTGGTGGTGGTTCTGGTGGTGG